ATGAACTGGGTTAAAAACAATCCAGTGAAAACAAAAAAAAATCGATGGTATTACCCAAGCAATGCAGAGGACCGGGGACAATCATTACAATAATATAAACCCAAATCAAGATCACGCACATTCCAGCCTCGAAGGCTTGATGGCATGACCAGATTTTAATGACCTTCCTGTACTAAAAAGCAGAGACATCACCCTGCCAACAAAAGTGCGTATAGTCAAAGCCATGGTTTTCCCAGTTGCAATGTATGGCTGTGAAAGTTGGACCATAAGAAAGGCTGAGCGCCAAAGAATGGAGGCCTTTGAACTCTGGTGCTGGAGAAGACTCCTGTGAGTCCCCTGGACTGCAAGGCGATCAAACTGGTCAGTCCTAGAGGAGATCAACCCCGACTGCTCTTTAGAAGGCCAGATCCTGAAGTTGAAACTCAAATACTTTGGCCACCTAATGAGAAGGAAGGACTCCCTGGAGAAGAGCCTAATGCTGGGAAAGATGGAGGGCAACAGAAGGAGGGGACGACAGAGAATGAGGTGGCTGGATGGAGTCCCTGAAGCAGTAGGAGTGAGCTTAAATGGACTCCAGAAGATGGTAGAGGACAGGAAGGCCTGGAGGAACGTTGTCCATGGGGTCACGATGGGTCGGACACGACTTCGCAACTAACAACAACAATGACCTTCCTAGAAACCAGGAGGGAAGCCACTGGAGGCTGGCTCTCGGGAAAGCGTGAGAGCCCCATAAATGGGGAAAAAGAAGAAAGAAGCTGCTAAGGGTGAACATAGAATAACAGGGTTGGAAGAGACCTTGGAGGTCTTCTAGACCAACCCCAGGACCATGGGAGGAGATCCATGATGGCGCAGTGATTAGAATGCAGTTAACTGCAGGCTATTTCTGCTGATTGCCGGCAACCTGCAGTTTGGCAGTTCGATTCTCACTGGCTCAAGGTTGAGTCAGCCTTCCGTCCTTTTGAGGTCGGTAAAATGAGGACCCAGATTGTTGGGGGGCAAATAGGCTGACTCTGTAAACTGAGAGTGCTGTAAAGCACTGGGAAGCGGTATATAAGCCTAAGTGCTATTGCTACCCTACATGATTCCAAATTTTCTTTGGGCTTGATGGGATGGCAAACAGGATCATACAAAGAATAATAGAATATCAGAACCGAACAGAGTTGGAAGGGACGTTGGAGGTCTTCTAATCCAACCCCTTTCTCAAGCAGGAAACCGTAAAGTAGGGGTCTTTAAACTTGGCCCTTTTATGACTTGTGGACTTCAACTCCCAGAATTCCTCAGCCAGCGTGTCTGGCTGAGGAATTCTGGGAGTTGAAGTCCACAAGCAGGGGTCTTCAAACATGGCCCTTTTATGACTGGTGGACTTCAACTCCCAGAATTCCTCAGCCAGCGTGTCTGGCTGAGGAATTCTGGGAGTTGAAGTCCACAAGCAGGGGTCTTCAAACATGGCCCTTTTATGACTGGTGGACTTCAACTCCCAGAATTCCTCAGCCAGGCACGCTGGCTGAGGAATTCTGGGAGTTGAAGTCCACCAGTCATAAAAGGGCCAAGTTTGAAGACCCCTGCCCTAAACCATTTCAAACAAATAGTTGTCCAATCTGTTCCTAAAACCTCCAACGTGTCAATGTTCCGATAAGGCGAGACCAAACAAATCAGACCAGGCTAGAGGTTTCCTCAAAGAACGTGTTTATTGGTTACACAGTATCGGCACTACCAAATGTGAAACCAAGTCTGAAATTCCCTCCAAAGAGTTACGCTATTACAAAATTAAACTTCCCACTCCTGTGCCATGCATTCTCCAATAGAATAGTTTGGCGGGCTTTCTAGCCAACTGCTCCCCCTCCCAATCTAATTGGCAGAAATGACCTTGGTTCCCACAGGACATTGAATTGTTTAGACTAGCAGAATTCCTCCGCACCCCCTCCGATCATTGTGGCAACCTAGAGCGAGCAAGATGGCTGCAGCCAGGTTCGTTGTCGAGTTGACACAATGTTGGAACACCCACAACTTCTGGAGGCAAGCTGTTCCACTGATTAATTGTTCTCACTGTCAGGAAATTTCTTCTCTGTTCCAAGTTGCTTCTATCCTTGATGAGTTTCCATCCGTTGTTCCTTGTCCTGCCCTCTGCCCAGCATGGCTCAGCTTGGAAACCTCTCCCTTTCCCCTCAGCATGGCTGGCTCAGGAATTCTGGGAGTTGAAGTCCACGAGTCATAAAAGAGCCAAGGTTGCCTACCCCTGAAGTAGACATAGCCTATTCCAGCAACCGTTCTTTATATGTTTTAGCCTCCGGTCCCTTGATCATCTTTGTTGCTCTTCTCTGCACTCCACCAAGGGACTAG